GTTGAGCATTTCTTCATGTGTCTATTGGCCATTCTTATTTCCTCTTCAGAGAAGCTTCTCTTTAAGCCTTTAGCCCACTTATTTATTAGGCAGTTATTTCTTTGAGGATTTGTTGTTGGGGTTTTAATTTTTTGAGTTCTAAGTATATTTTAGATATGAGACCTTTGTCCATTGTATGGCTAGTGAAGATCCTCATACAATCTGTGGGCTTTCTCTTGATCTTGCTAACTATGTCCTTTGCCATGCAGAAACTCTGTAGTTTCATGCAATCCCATTTGCCCAACGCTTCTTTGATTTGTTGTGTTTCTAGGTCTTTATTAAGAATATTTTAGCCTGTGCCAAGGAGTCCTAGAGTTTCTCCTATCCTTTCCTGTAATGTTTTCGGGGTGTCTGCATTGACTTCAAGGTCTTTGATCCATTTGGAGTTGATTCTGGAGCAGGGTGATATGTAAGGATCTAGCTTTAATTTTCTGCAGGTGTTTAACCAATTTTGCCAGTGCCATTTACTGAAGAGGCTGTCTTTCTTCCATTCTATTTTTTAGCTCCCTTATTGAAGATTAGGTGGCTATAGATCTGTGGGTTCATTTCTGGGTCTTCAGTTCTATTACATTGGTCCTCAGGTCTGTTCTTGTGCCAGTGACAAGCTGTTTTGATTACTTTGGCTTTTTAGTAGAGTTTGAAATTTGGTATTGATATTCCTCCAGCACTGTTGTTTCTTATAAGGATTGTTTTTGCTATTCTGGGTCTTTTATTTTTTCATATGAATTTTTGGGTTGCTTCTTCTATTTCATTGAAGAATGAGGTTGGAATATTGATAAGTATCACATTGATACCTTTGGAAGTATTGCGACTTTCATGTTAATTCTTCCAATCCAGGAGCATGGGAGGTTTTCCACTTCCTTAAATTTTCTTAATTTGCTTAAATTTTCTTTTTCAGGTTTTTAAAGTTTTCATCATAGAGGTCCTTCACTTCTTAAGTTAACTCCTAGGTATTTTATTTTTTATGGGGCTATTACAAAAGGAATTGCTTTCCTGATTTCAGCTGCACTCTTCTCATTGTTGGCATACAGAAAAGCCATTGATTTTTGAGGGTTAATTTTTATACCCTGCTACTTTGCCAAAGTTTTTGATCAGCTCGAGTAATTTGAGAGTGGAGTCCATGGAGTTCTTCAAACACAAGATCTTGTCATCTGCAAAGAGGGAGGGAGAGTTTTATTTCATCTTTCCCTATTTGGATCCCCTTTATGTTTGCATCTTGTCTTATTGCTGTAGCTAGGCATTCTAATACTAAATTGAAGAGAAGTGTTAAGATGGACATCCTTGTCTGGTTCCTGAACTTAGAGGAAATAGCTTTAGCTTTTCACCATTAATTATAACGATGGCTGTAGGTTTGTCATACACAGCCTTTATTATATTGAGAAATATTCCATGGATTCCTAGTTTTTCCAGCACCTTCATCATAAAGGGGTGTTAGATCTTGTCAAATGCTTTTTCTGCATCTATTGAGAAAATCATGTGCTTCTTAGCCTTGCTCTTGTTGATATGATGAATTATATTAATTGATTTGTGTATCAAATCAATTTGTGTAACCAGTTTTGCATCCCTGAAATGAATCCTGTTTGATGTGGTGTACGATTTTTTGATGAGTTGTTGAAATTGATTGGCCAAAATTTTGTTGAGAAGTTTTGCACCGATGTTCATGTCATCTTTCTTTGATGAGTCTCTGACTGGTTTTGCGACGAGGGTTATGATGGTTTCATAGAAAGAGTTTGGTAGTGAATTTTCACTTTCAATTTCATTGAAGAGTTGGAGGAGTGTTGGTGTGAATTCTGCTTTGAAGGCCTTGTAGAATTCAGCTGTAAATCCATCCGGTCCTGAGCTTTTCTGGGTGGGAGGTCTCTATTTCGATGGTTGTTATGGGTCTGTTAGGTTGGTTTAAATCATCTTGGTTTAGTTTGGGCATGTCAATATTTGCTAGAAATCCATCCATTTTTTCCAGATTCTCAAACTTATTAGCATAAAGGTTTGAGAAGTATTCCCTTATAATGTTCTGAATCTTGATTGTTTCTGTGGTTTTGTGGTGATGTTTCCATTCTCATCTCTGAGTTTGTTTATTTGGGTGTGTTCTTTTTTCTGATAAGATTTGCTAAGGGTCTGTCAATTTTGTTAATTTTTTCAAAAAACCAACTCTTTGTTTTGTTGATTCTTTCTATGTTTTGGGAGGATTCTAATTCATTTGATTCTGATTTAATTTTTAATTATTTGTTTCTGTCTACTGGATTGGGGTTTAGCTTGTTGCTCTTTTTCAAGGAGCTTCAGGCATCTCATTAAATTGTTGGTTTCAGATCTTTCCAATTTGTTGTTGAGGTCTCTTGATACCCAGCTCATTGTAGTCTCTGCTACCCCCCCTGATCCTATCAAAATAAGATTCTTTTTCTCAGATCTGGGCCTTACAGTCTTTGTGGTGATGTGTTGCATGTGTTTGCATCTATTCTCTTCAATTGCTGCTCCCAGCAGATGATTCAGTAAATGTTAGAAAACCCAACATCACCCCACACTGACCTCATCTGTCCATGTGGGGATTATGTTATCACACTGTACTCTGGTCACACATGCTACTCCCTTGCATATCTGTTTTGCCACAGTGTTTTTGCCCCCATGACCTGAGGTGATCTGGGAGGGGACCTCTTTTTGGGGGGAAGGGACCTTTAACAGGCAGCTTTATAAGAAAGATGAAAGTTGACAATGAGAAAGGCAAACTAAGAGGCTCTGAGTGGATTAGAGACTGATACTATTAATGTCTGCTTTTTCTGTGAATACGTTTTCTTTCCCCTAATGTATTCCAGTTT